ATTTTAATTTTGCGCCGCCTCCCGAGTCAGTCCTCTTCGAGGTCCTCTTGCTCGCTGATTGTTTTCTGGTCGGAGGGAAGCGATTCCTCCCCATTGTCTGCGGCCCGGCTCCCAGCAGTGCGCCGTCTCTCTCGCAGTGTGGCACAGTGGGCCAGAAAACCGTGGAGGCGGCCAAAACTCTAGACGCGTTTTGAGCTCCAGAGTCGCTGAATAGGACTCGAACCGAACGTGTGACCCCATCAATGGATTCCTCGTTCGGAGAGCAATCCATTGGTGGGGTCACACGTTCGGTTCGAGTCCCATTTACCGTCTCTGGAGCTCAAAACGCGTCTTGAGTTTTGGCCGCCTCCACGGTCGTCTGGCCCACTGTGTGTGGGCGGGACAGAGCGCGGGCGCTCTCGCTCGGCGACTAGGGCGCGAGTCGCCGGAAATTGGGAGTCGAATCTCACCGGACGTTTTAATATAAATAGCTTTTTAGCGCGGCTGGCGCGTCCTATTATGTGGACCGGGGCCGCGGAGCCGCGGCGGCAGCGGCGAAGTTGGAGGGGATTGATTGGGGGCGGTTCACAGGTACGCCCTGGACACCGCCTCGCCCCGCCCCGCCCCGCAGCAACACATCGGCACGATATCCGGCAGGGCGGGCCTATTAATTATCGGCCAATATGGCGAAGTTAAGTCGATCCCCAGGCCCAGGCCAGAGACAGGCGGGCCGACTTCAACACACGCAACAACTACACGCCAAAGAGGAGTTTCAATGAATCGTTATTCCTCGAGCCAAGAATCTTTTTCTGTCATCAGACGTCCCCGCAACGTCCCACAACGGTCACTGCTCACCCCTTCCCCAGGGAAAACTCAAAACCACTCTTAGTTAAGCCTGCCAAACCAAGAAGTGGACTAAAGTCTCGTCATTTCTGAGGCACTGCCGAGACACTGTGAAGGAGCCCCACTGCTAGCCTGTGACGTAAGGAAGGACTCATACCGTGCGGACAACTACTACTCTGCAGGCAGCAGGAAGCGGGCCAAAGTAGACGAAGACGAAGGCTACACTACAAGCAGGACCCGCGCAGGACCTCCCTCCCTTTTCCCTTGATAATTACAGCGAGAGGGCGCTGTTAAAGACCGTCGGCCAGCCCGGGGCCTCGCCCGCCTCGTCAGTGCGACTGTCGCTCTCTCTCTCTCTCTCTCTCTCTCTCTCTCTCTCTCTCTCTCTCTCTCTCTCGCACCGTGGCGCGTCCCGCGGGGGTGCGAGAGAGACATCGCGACTGGCGGCGCGCGGCCATTTAGCGGCGGGGGCCGTCGCTACGCCGCGCCACTGTGATTCGGGACGATAAGAAAAGGCGGCAAAGTGGCGCGAGCGAGACAAGCCGCCGCCAGCCGCCGCCAGCCGCGCGAGAGAGACAGAGAGATGTTCGTCACCGCCTGCGAGCTGCGAGCCTCCCCGTGTCCCGGCGTCCTGCCGCGCTGCCGCCCAGCAGACTGATTCCGAGAGTCGTTTTCGTCGCTCTGTCTCTCTCGCACCTATAAGGGACGCCCGATGAGTGCGAGAGAGACAGAGCGACGAAAACGACTCTCGGAATCAGTCTGCAGAGCGCTCTTTCTTTTTCCCCGCCACCGCCTCCGGAAAAAGGGGGCGTTATCGGCGTCGTCGACACGCCAGCCAGCTCAGCTATCGTCGCTCCGTCTCTGTCGCACTCGCGGGGCGTGCCGGCGCGCCGCTGGGGCGCGAGGCAGACAGAGCGACGAGCCTGCCGGTAGGATTGATTGAAGCTGGTCCAGGTGGCGGGCGGGACGTTCGGGACGGGACGGCCGGGACCGCTTTGAAGGCCGCCGAGTCGGCGCTCCGCTCCCTCCGCCTCCACTCGCCTTCCCCCGTCGGCCGCCTCATTCCGTCGCTGTCTCTCTCGCACCTCTTAGGGACGCCCCGCGAGTGCGACAGAGACAGACGCCCTTCCTCCCTGCGCTTCGCCTCGGCCTCGCCGAGCACGACAGAGCCACGATCTTTAATTTTGTAAACCGCGGCCTCCGCGGCGTCCGCTGCCTGCTGAATTATTGCACTCACCATTCCTGGTTCCTGGTCGCCTCGCGGCCCTCGCGGACAGTCCGGGCCAGCCCACAGTGGGCCAGAAGCCGGTGGAGGCGGACAAACCTCTAGATGCGTTTTGAGCTCCAGAGTCGCTAAATAGGACTCGAGCCGAGCGTGTGACCCCACCAATGGATACCTCGTTCGGAGAGCAATCCATTGGTGGGGTCACGGCAAAAGTACCGCCTGGGATTCCCAGGCGCATCATAAGGAAAAGGGCCTATTTTCCAGGCACTGCCTGGGAATCCCAGGCGGTACTTTTGCCGTGGTCACGCGTTCGGTTATCCAGTCCCATTTAGCGACTCTGGAGCTCAAAACGCGTCTAGAGTTTCGTCCGCCTCCACTGGCCTCTGGCCCACTGTGCAGCCCACTTGACAGTGGCGTTGGCAGCGAGCCTGGACAGGCCGGACGGACAGGCAACTCTCTGTCCCTCTCTGGCTTCGTGTTCACCAGGTGGCATGCCGCACTGCGTCACGGCGTGTCACCCCCCCCCCCCCCTCTTTTCTGCGGCTCTACGAGAGAAGCAGCAGCGCGGTGTCTGATAATCGAAAAGCATCCCGAGTGCGTGTGGGTGGTCAGTGTGCGAGAGAGTGAAGGGACGCAGACAAGACGCAGGATGAAATAGCTACCATTCTTTATTCTCTACGATAGAGGTCACTACGGTAAGAAGTCACACATTTTTGGAACGCACATGAACCCTCTCTGCGACGCACGGCGGCGAGGCACGGCGGCGGGGCGCGGTGGCGTGAGCCTCGCCCCGCCCCGGGAAAATGAGCAATTTGCCAACGCCTACGTAATGCCGGCAGAGTGAAAGTAATTGCGGGACGACGGGGACGTCACCGACGTCACCGCGGAGTCTACGAGCCGGGTCGGGTCATTTTCTCCTTTTCCACGCACCGCGCGCACAGCGCGCACCGCAGAGGCCGGGCCGTAGGATAATTTAAGATACGAGGTTAAGTAATAGACGCGTATAGCATGGCACGCAGATAGTTACTAATATGATTAGCGTACGACTTACAGCCTTTTCCCCTTCCCTAGTTCGTGCGGCTAAACCGGACAAACTAGGCCAAAGAATGTCACAAACACATAACACCGAAAACAGAACACAATCATCATCGCACACAGCGCGACTTATAAATACTTACGTTAATGAGGCAAGATCTCTATACAATATTTATACGTATAACACTTAGCAAGGAAATAATTATTTAATAGTACAACATTTAATTAGAAACATTTAATCTTACAAAAATAAATTATCCATTCACGCTTAGCATACAGGTATGCAAAGAATAAAATATCACTACATCGCAGCCGTTGGAAAGGGGGACAGAGAAACAAGGGGAACGCAATCGGAGAGTGAATTTCGGCATCCTGCCAACATTATTTGTAGACGTTTATAAACTGCAGTTTATAAACGTCTACAAATAATGTTGGCAGGATGCCGAAATTCATGGGCGCCTAAGCGCGTTTGCTTATGACCTTGTCAATTATTCAGGGGGGAAACTTGGCCTTTAAAATTCGACCCACTCCAATTTTAAATTCGGTTAAAGAGTCGTTCAGGGTTTCCAAAGATAACTGTTTCTTTTCTTTTCAGTTCGATGAAAGAAGGGCTAGAACAAAGCTCCACCCGAGGTATTGCAGTCACGACACACCAGAAATGCAAAGACAGAAAAGCTCGTAAAGGACGCAAAAAAGGGGAGGGGAGGGGGCACTCAGGTACAGAGCGTGGAGGTTCGAGGCGAAGCGGAAGGCAGCCCACGTCCACACACATATTCAAACACATACACACAGAATTCACGCACGCACGCACGCACGCACGCGCACACACACACACACACACAGTACACTACGCAGGCTCACGCGCCCCCATGCGAGCACGGGCGCGCACACACTCACACACACTCAACACTTTTACACCTCTAAACATAAACTTACGAACTAGAGCACACGCCCGCACACATCCTCACGAAACCGAACTATTTTCCTCTGTAAATGAGATAATTGATTCCGGGTCGAGTGACAGTCCCCGACTCGTCGCGGGGACCACTAGCTTTGGCCGTCCGCGCTGGCGAACATTTATTGATGCAGACCCCGAGCCCTGCCTCGACTCCCAAGCTTACTCTAGTTGCTTTAAAACACCGACCACCATCTTGACGCGTTTGGGGGTCCTTTAAATGCAATCAGTCTAACACGTATTTCAATTCAGTCAAACGAAAAAAATAAACAACAAATTAATATCTACGTTATGGCACATTTTGGTTTCATTCTCCACTGCATCCAAACAGCGAGTTTTCAGGAAACAAGAGAGGGGTTGATTGTCACGGGCGAAAGAATCTTTCTCTGTCCGTTTCAGTCTAATTATTCAGAGGGCCACGCCGAAAAGAGAACGCAGTCGGCACTTTTCGCATTCTCACACAAGATGAATACTGCGCTCAGCTCGACGCATCGCACTTAAGTTTTACATGAACAACAATTACGATACGGAAAAATTGATGTGGCCAGAGTAATTCGTATTCACTACCAGATATTTAACCACTCCAAAATATTATGATGAAACATCTCAAAAGAAACATCGCAATAATTCTGAATAACAAGATGCTGCATTTTACAACGCGTTTTCATATTTCTTTGGATTTTCACCGCCACCGAAATCCGATGTCCTTCAGTAAAATAGTATGACTTCATCACGCCCTACACGATATCATGTAAACCAGGCTCACGTGATAACGCAACAAACACTCGTAATGTTTTAAAGGTAATGATTTCTGCTAGGTTAGCGTGTTGAAAAGCCTTCTTTGTCTCCAGCTCCGTTTGACGGATGACAGGTTGCTCTTGTGGGTGAGAATCTCGACGACCCAGTGGAGCAAGATATTCTTCAGTCGTGTACAGAGTACTGTCGAAGTATATAGGCCCGATATACAAAGTACTTGACATTATTAATTGGGAGAAAAATGGAATAAATGCCTCACTTGTCACTTTCCTTCTCTCGGATATTGCTATAAAGTATTTAAGCGACTTCTAATATACTCTGTATGAAATATATAAATTACAAGGACTTTTCACCCCCTCACTATACTAATAGGAAGAACGATTTAGACGAAAAAATAAAACATTGGTTGCCTAGCTAATTTGATGGAAGTCTTCTGCACCACTTATCAAACACAATTGCTTGGTCCAGCGAAGCTTTTTCGATGGAATAATTATTTGGTTGGGGATGCGAGGGAAATGTTTCAAGTTCGTAACTTGTCAGTGGATTTCCCCATTCCGCCAACCAAACAACCACTTGCTTAAAGTCTATACCCCGGGCCGCCGCTCGGGTTCGAGTCCTGGCAGCGGCCGGGTGGAATCACACACTGTTTGGCTTGGTGGGGCTGAAGCTAGAAGCGCGTCGTTGTGTTTGGCTGCGGAGGCCCCACCGTGCTGAAGCTCAGAGTCCGGCCCCGGCCGCGGCCCCGGGCCCCCACCGCTGCCTGACGCCGAAAGACGGCGTCGTCTTGTTGTCATTGCCGCCAGCCCTTGGAGCGGTACTGGCACAGCAGGACCTTCTTGAAGGCCTGCCGGAACACCTTGTTGAAGATGGTGTAGAAGATGGGGTTGACCATGGAGGACGCGTAGCCCAGCCAGGTGGCGCAGTCGAACACGGCCGTGTGGATGCTGCGCTCGCACTCGACGCCGCAGATGGCGGGCACTAGGTTGAGCACGAAGAAGGGCGCCCAGAGCACCACGAAGGTGAAGAACACGACGCCCAGCACCTTGGTGGCCTTCTGCTCGAGGCGGATGATGCGGCCGTGGCGCGACGAGTTGCGCGACATGACGGACGAGCTGCGGGAGTGCTGGCTGCGCACCGTGTTGTTCCGCGTCAGGCTGCAACATGCGTGCGGTGGCGTTAGTCCGCGCTTCAAAGTGGGGCAAGGAACGCGGACGCGGAGCTTTTCCAATTTAGTTCGTTACTGTGCGCATGATGAACTCCCTAGATGCCTTTCATCAAAAGTGGGCCGCTTCCTGCGAGGAGCATGTGCCTGCCTCGCGTTACAGTGTACTGCGCCCCGTCTAACTACGTCAGGAATGTCGTCGGCCTGTCTATTAAGCTTACCTGACGTTGACGTCGTCCATGCCCTGGCCGTTGTTGTGGTGCCGCAGCGTGGCCGAGCGCCGCAGCAGCGGAATGCGCTGGGACAGCTTGCCGCGGTGCACCGGGGTGGAGTCCGCGCTGGCCGAGCCGCTGGAGGGCGCCTGCCTGGCGGCCGGCTGCCTGGGCGGCGCCGCGCTGCTGGCCGGCGTGCTGGTGCTGCTGTTGTCGTCCAGGCTGGAGCGGAACGTACCGTTGTCCCACGTCACCACCATGCCGCTGACCTTGGACGTCGACGGCGAGGCCGCCTCCTTGGGCATCTCGCAGCTCTTGCTGAGGTGCTGGCGCAGCGCGGAGCGCACGCCCAGCCCCGCGCCCAGCCCCGCGCCCAGGCTGCAGGCCTCGGTGGAGGGCACGATGATGATCTGCTCCGTGCTGCGGTTCGCCGCGGGCAGCTCGGCCGCCTCGCCGAAGTACGGGCAGCGGCACGGCGGCGGCAGCGGCAGCGCGGGGGGCGTCGACGCGGACCCCGTCCTGGAGGCCGCGTCGTCCTCGCCCGCCACGCGCACCTCGGGCACCTCGGACACCAAGCCGTCGCTCTGCTCGTGGTAGCTGTGCACGAGGCGCCGCGGGGTCGAGGCCTCGTCGCTGCCCTCGACGGCGGCCTCCACGTCGAACCGGTGGCGGCGGCGCACCGGGACCGGCGGCGTGTTGGCCGACTCGCCCAAGCCCACGGAGTTGTTGTCACTGCGCGAGAATGAAGAATCAGAGTGCCAGCCGCGAACGACGAACCGATGTCCGCGGTTTCGAAAACGCAAACCAAACTCACCCGAAGTTGTCGCAGCGGTGGTGCCGCATGACCAGTCCGATGCCCGGCATGGGCAGCGGCATGCGCAGGCAGGGCCGGCGCTCCGGGTCCTCGTCCTCGTCGGTGTCCTCCACGCACGAGCTGGCGGCGGCGTCCTCGGCGGCCCCCAGGCCACGCGACAGCTTGAGCATCTCGACGCCGAACTGGTGCAGGGCGGACATGGTGGAGGGTGTGGGCTCGGGCACGGAGCTCTCGGGCAGCCACAGCTCGTGCGTGTCCACCATGGTGAGCTCGGTGTCCGTGGAGGCCATGTTGTGCATGTTGTGCTGCGGCGTGGAGCACGCCGACGGCGGCTCCGACCGCGACGACCGCAGCATCAGCCGCCGCCATTTCCTCCGCCGCAGCCCTGCAAGGCACACCAACATGAAGCGCCGGGTGGCGGGGATCGAACCTGAGACCTCAAATCGGCACACTTTACCGGCGCTACACGCAGAGAATCAGAGAATCTGTATGGGCCCTGCGCGCCGCGCGCCGCACGCCGCCGCGCGCAGTCTGGAAAACGGTCACGTTACTGCCGGCAAGTGGAGCATAAGTTGCTGTCATTGGATCGTGCGCCGCGTGCCTCCAGCGGGGCCGAGGTGGGGCACAGTGGGGCAGAGCGGGGCACAGCCTGCGCCTTGTGGCCGCCAACTTGCCCTCACGCGCCGCGCCGCACCGCGCCGCCACTGCGCCGAACCAAGCCCACGCAAGCCTCTAATCCAGGCACGGGAAGGGTGTCAACCCGAAGGGAGGGGCGGGGGAAGAGGCTTTAAAACGCGCCAAAAATAAGATGAGGCTGGGGCCTACGCCGCCTCGACCCGCCACGGCCAGTGCCGGGAATCCACCCGACACCGATTACCAACCCCCCTGCCTCTCCCTCCCCCTTGGAGTGGTGGCCTCACTGCACCAAGGCATATCTCTCACCCATGAGCACCGGCAGCGGCGGCAGCCCAGCGAGCCGAGTCTGCAAGAGCCGAGTCGGTCTCCGCCTCGCCTTGGTGCTCGCCTCCGCGGCAGCAATCTGCTCGCCAACACTCGGCAGGAATTCAAAGAATAATGGGGGCAATCAGGCGGAGCCTTGAGTGGGGTTGGCTTCGAGCTTCGACTCGTGCAGCTCCTTAATTTAGCGCAGAAAGGCAAAAAAGCATAACGAAGAGGGGGAGCGGCGGGGCAGTGAGGCGGAGTGCGGCGAGCGTACTGCCGGCACTGCCGCGCAGACTCCACCTCTCGACTTGATTCCTCATCAGGCCTCACCGCCGGGCAGGCAGACAGGCAGGCGGGCAGGCAGGCAGGCGGGCAGGCAGGCAGGCGGGCAGGCAGGCAGGCGGGCAGGCAGGCAGGCAGGCAGGCAGGCAGGCAGGGAAGAAAGGCAACCTACACCTCGGAAAGACGAGACGGAGAAGGGGGAAAAAGGAGGGAAATCCCGTAGAAAAATCCTACTTCCTTTCTTTCTTGCCGGGAGCCTGATAAAGGGAGAGGGAGAGAGAGCGATGGAGTTACGTCACACGCCTTAAAGCGCATCAAACATGGATGGCGCGCACACGACGCGTAGGTTGCAGGCTCATTCCGAACGGGTCGCTCTGTCTCCCTCGCACTCATGGGAGAGGCCCGTGGCGGTGCGAGAGAGACGGAGCGACGAAACGACGCTTCGGTATCGCCCGGGCGCGCCCGGCCGTGGGAGACGCCTGTCGGGCCGGGGTTAGGCAACGCGCTGGGCACAGGTGTCGGGCGGGCCGGCCTACGCTCGGGCTGGCAGGCGCTCTGCACCGCCGCATGTGGACGCTGTGGACGCGGGGACCACCAAGCCGATGCACAGTGGGCCAGAAGATCGGTGGAGGCGGCCAAAATTCCAGACGCGTTTTCAGCTCCAGGGTCGGTAAACAGGACTCGAACCGAACGGGTGACCCCACCAATGGATTGCTCTCCGACCAAGGAATCCATTGGCGGGGTCACACGTTCTGTTCGAGTCCTGTTTAGCGACTCTGGAGCTCAAAACACGTCTAGAGTTTTGGCCGCCTCCACCGGTCTCCTGGCCCACTGTGCGGCGGCGCGGAGCGACACGTACTCGGAACGAGGAATCCATTGGTGGGGTCACACGTTCGGTTCGAGTCCTGTTTAGCGACTCTGGAGCTCAAAACGCGTCTAGAGTTTCGACCGCCTCCACCGGTCTTCTGGCCCACTGCGCGATGCCACCCGCGACAAGCAGACACGTGATTCATACCCCGGTTCAGTGCCGTGTCTCCTGGTCCGCTTGAATGCGATGCTGCTGCGGCTCCTCAGATTCCCTCGCGTGGAGCGCAGACCAGCCCATTCTCGGGCCGTTTTTAATTTACTGCTCGCCTCTTACCCAAAGTCTTTATCCTCCGATTTCAATAGCCCGATCATTCGCAAACTGCGCGCCGTCTCGTGTCGCGCGCCGGTCCCGCGCCCGCCCTCTCTCACACGCAAACCCATCCACGGCGTCAGGAAAGTGCGTGTCTTTAAATATGAACACCCTCTCTATATGTTAAAAGACACACGGGAGAAAGGAAGGAAGGCAAGGAGGAGGAAGTCTGTCGTGTTTTGCACGCGTTTTCCAGGAAAGCAGCCGTAACCCGATTTCTCCCCACAGCGAGGCCCCGCGCCCTGCACCTCGTGTTTTTGCGCCTCGTCTGTTTCATTTCACACCGCCCGGCCCCTCGCCGGTCGCCGCCCCTCGCCGCCCCGTGCCTCCACCGGTAATCGCGTCACACGCCGTCGGGGTGCACCGCGCGATGTGTGTGTGTGTGTGTGGTGTGTGTGTGTGTGTGTGTGTGTGTGTGAGAGAGAGAGAGAGAGAGAGAGAGGCCGCGCCGTACAGTCTGCTACCCGCTGGCGGCGTGATACTCACATGCCCGATATCGTCCACGCCCCAGGCCACGCCGCGCCGCGCCGTCACCTGCTGGGGCTGGCCGGGGTATGATTGCGTGAAATAATAAACGTGCCGCCATTGTCTGTGAGGGACAAAGGCCTGCACCACGTGCCCGGTGCTCCGCTCCGTGCTCCGGGCCGGACAGACGGGCTGGCAGCAACAAAGGGGGCGCCAACACTGCAGCCCTCGACCCGTTGCACCACACTGTGTCACCTGCCGACCGACTCCGAACGGTCGCTCCGTCTCTCTCGCACCGCGACGGGACGCCCCGTGAGGGCGACAGAGACAGAGCGACCGTTCGGAGTGGGCCTGCGCTGGCGCGGCGACGCCACGGCGCTGGGAGACCCGGACGAGTGGACGCACACTGCGTGTCTGGACACGATTTGAGCTTCTTGTCCTCCAGCGGGGCTCCAGTGAACCGACCGTGCGAAGGTAGCGACGGATCCCAGGGGGCAATCGACCGGTACCCTCGGGCCTCATTCGCGTCCTTTGAGCTCGGGGCGCTTTGTCTGTTTGGGATGCACTGCACTTCCAGCACTGCCACTGCACTGCGATTAGTGTCACCGTGGGGCTCTTGGCGCTTCGGGGGACGAGGGCCGCGCCGCGCCACGCCGGGCCGTAGGGCTGTGAGCCGTGCGGGTCATCAGTGAGGCAGCAGGCAGGATTGTTTGCATTGATCCGCCGGCCCGGGGGGCACATTCAGACGAAAACGCCGAGGCCGCCCTGCGTTTATCCCTTCTGATTGGCTGGTCGCTCAAGGGCCCCGTCAGAGGGCCAATCTCGTTCAAAGTGCAAGGGCTGCTGAGACTCCGGGCCCCCGCGCGGCCCAGCGCCGCCCCTGCGGGGCCGGGGATGAATAAGGACGACGCACACTCACTCTCTCACACACAAACAAAATACACTCGCAAACTCACACAAACGCGCCGCGCACCCGTCCTCTCTCTGTCGCTCCCTCTCACACACTCACACCAGTAAAACACACACACGCACACAACACGAAAATTCAACATTCTTACCTCTCGGCCGCGGCCAGCGCCTTGTTAAAATATGCAAATTAAAATTGCACGAACCTGGCGTGGAGGGGTGCCAGCCGCCGCCGCCGCAGAGGTTCTGCTGCTGCAGGGCGAGCAGGCGCACGGTGAGGGCGTAGGTGAGCAGCATCACGCCCAGCGGGATGTAGAAGCACACGATGCTGCCTATCAGCTTGTACAGCGGGTCGGGGATCTGGCAGGTGCCGTCGATGAGCACCGAGTCCTGGTTCTGCAACAGAGACACCGACGTGTTTTCACTTTCGGACGAGGAAAAGAGGGGTGTTTTCTCGCGGGGCTGGGGCCGTATCCGGTTTAGCTGGCCGTCAACGGTGGCATGGACTGCACGACGTGGGCGTTGGGGGGTCGCGCAGCGAACAGTCCTGCCCACCTTCCTCCCCTCGCTCTCCCCTACCGGCCGCGCTAGCTATTATTCAAGGCGCGGCCGCCAGCCGACTCTGAAGAGTCCGCCGCGCGGTCTCTCTCGCACCCCGCCGCGAGAGCGACAGAGACGGTGTGCCCCTCCGGAGTCGGCCCCGGGCGGAAGGGCGAGACGAGGAGGCACGGCGGTACCGCCAAGTCGCACCGGCACGCCGCCGCCGCCGCCACGCAGGCCCTCGTCCTCATCGTGAAGCAGGCCGCCGCGCCAGCGCGCCGCTCAAGGTCGCGAAGCTCCGGCAGCCCGACGGCAGCCCCTCATCGCGGTCGACTTGGGGCCGGGCTAAGTGATCTGGTCCTGGTCCCCACTCCGCACAGTGGGCCAGAAGACCTGCAGAGGCGGCTAAAACTCTAGACGCGTTTTGAGCTCAGGAGTCGCTAAACCGGGCTCGAACCGCACGTGTGACCCTACCAAAGGATTTCTCGTTCGGAGAGCTATCCATTGGTAGGGTCACAATTCCAATTCGTGTCCCATTTGGCGGCTTCGGAGCTCAAAACGCGACCGGGATTTTGGCCGCCTCCACCAGTCTTCTGGCCCACTGTGCTCCGTCTGCCAGTCTCCCATCGACCCCACACTCGTTAAAGACCAGGCCGCCTTCTTTTGGTCGCGCCCACGCTGATATGTCGCCCCAACTAGTGGCCTCCGCCCGCTCCACCCTCAACCCCCGCGCGTTAATGAAGCCCCGATTAAGCCGAGGGCGGTGGCAGTGCTCCTCGCTCCGGGACGGCCCCCGCAGCCGAAAGGGTTGCGGCACACTGGCACACGTGCGCGGCGCGCAGCCGCTCCCACGGTCAGGGCCATCGAGGCCATCGGGGCCGTCATCGTCATCCCTAACGGCCAGGCAGTAGTGCCGCGCCACTGTGCAGCACTGCCCGGCACTGCCCAGGGCGAAGGGCTACTTTGTTGCGCTGGCTGCACTCTGGCCTCGCGATGGCCGCGCGGTGGGTTCGCGGTGGGTTCGCGGTGGGTTCGCGGTGGGTTCGCGGTGGGTTCGCGGTGGCCTCGCGGTGGGTTCGCGGTGGGTTCGCGGTGCGGTGCTGTGGTCAGACGGGCTGCCCTCACGTGCAAAATAAACGGATCTCGACTTTGAAATTTTTCAACGACCCAGTTCTCCTTTTCCAAAAAAAACTCTTTTGAAGTTGTTTACCTTTATAACGCCATTTGTCTGGAATTTCTGCTCGAGTTTCGAGACGCAACATTCCAAATCAGTTTTTTTTACTGAGTGTTTTGCTGCCTGTGGTGAGAAAAGTGTCGAAAAATGCCACTGCCAGGACCCTGGACCTTCTTCTTTTTTTTCGCGTGCACTGAAAAACCAAACGTGGTCTAGACCGCACCACTGGTGTGGTCAGATGGATGCCATTTTGACCGCATCAGTTGGTGTGGTCTGGACCACGTTTGGCCACGTTTGGTGTGGTCTAGACCACACCAAACGCCCCAAACGTGGTCTAGACCACACCAACTGATGCGGTCAAAATGGCATCCATTTGACCACACCAGTTGGTGCGGTCTAGACCACGTTTGGTTTTTCAGTGTGTTGGGGAAGGGGCCCACGCGTTGCTTCGCACTCGCCGCAGGGAACACTTTGAGAATATTGAAAAAAACATGACCGCGTGGTCTGCGAGGCGAGGCGACCGGGTCCCAGCCCACCTTGGCGCCCTCGGCGGCCTCGGCGGGGCTTACCCGCCGGAAAGGACGTGCCGGCAGCGTGCCGCCGGGTCGCGGAAGCGCGAGGAGTGGCGTGGGTGGCGACGACGCCGAGGCTGCGTCCGAGTACCGGCTGTCGGAAGAGTGAGTCAGCGTGGAGATCGGAAAACAGATAGTTGGAGAACTTCCGGAACTTCCGGCCCAGCCTGGCGGCGCGGCCTGGCGCGGCGTGGCCGGCTCAAGATGACGGCGTGAACGAACGCGGGACGCGCTAATACGCCCTCGCTGAGACGAATGTGAGTTTTGGCTGTTCTTTATCTGGGAAAGCCATGCGGAGCGCGGAAGCTCGGCAGAAGGGACCGGCCGGTTGAACCGCGTCGTCGCCGCTCCTTTTTTCCTTGCGTTTTTTTCCTGTCGCGCAGTGGACAGAGGCCGTACTCGTGCGGCAGGGGCTCGACAGTCTTGGTCACGGGACTTGAATTTGTCATGACACCCGCCCCGCCCCTCGCGAGGAGGGTCGGAATAATGAAGGAGGCTGAAGCGCTGCACCGAGTCAGGCCGAGTCTGCACTAGTTACAGTGTGGGGCCTCGCACCTGCACCAGGTGACGTACTGGAGAGTCGCTTTGGCCGGGACAGCCGGGCCGCCGGGGCAGAGCCGGCGGAGCGCTCGATCCAGACGAACATTCCACGACGGTCCTGGCGCCCGGGGCGGGGGCTCCGGGGACCGCTCCGCCCCGCCCCTCCCCACCCCCGGGGTGTTTGCAGGCGGCTGCCTCCGTCGCTGCCCCGGCATGACACAGAAAGGCACGCCGCAGAAACTTTGGTGCCGATGCCACGCGAATTTTGCTCCAGGCTGTCGCGCCTCGCCGGCTCGTTCTCCGAGTGGCCGTCGCCGTCGCCAGCAGGCAGACCTGGCGAGGGGACAGGTTTCAGAGCTGCTCGCGTTGTACAGCCCCGGCACTCTAAAAAAAAATTCTTACTTTATGCCGAGTTTGGAACTGCACTGACACCAGCCGGCCGGGCACAATAGACAACTCTTTACCGAACTCGTTGAAAATGACGTCAAGTTGTCCCCTCCCTTCCCCGAAAGTCCGCGCACGGTATTGCGGCCGGTCTGTGCCGCGGACTGTCACCTGCCAGGAGCTGCCAGGCTGCCGGGGCTCCGGACACTGATTAAAAACGCGTCGTCCTCGTCGTCCTGGCTGTGGTGGCCGCTCTCTGACGGACGAGCAGGACGTTGGGGAAGATGGGGCCATAAGTCTGTTGGGCAAGCCAGGCAGCCAGTGAGGCAGGCAGGCAGGCAGCCAGTCAGGCAGCGAGGCAGCCAAGCGGGCGAGGCGACGGAAACGCGCAGCACACCGCCGCCCCACTCCGCCCCACGGCCACGCGGCGCGACGTGAACATGCGCATTTATCAAACAAAACAATTTGGGGAATGGGCGCGCGATGGCCCCGCCCGGACGCTACGCCACAGCCACGGCGCGACCACAGCGCCACTCCGCCGCCTACACTGGAGGAGGGGTAGACACGCTGCGGGTCCGCGGCCTCTACACTCCGAGTTCCCCGAGCACCTCCACGACGACGACGGTGTTGTCCTCCTGCTTCGAGAGCACCTACTCGTTTTCGGATGGCGTATCGGTGCGAGTGCAATGCGGGGCCCAAGGGAGGAGGGGCAGCGGGGGAGGTTCTCGGCGCGCAAACTCCTTGGTTGTTGCAGCACTCCGTCTTTACGAGAAGCAAGCGGAGCAGCAGCTCAGAGAAAAGTGAACAAAATGCGCGCTCTGGGCCGCCGGACCCGCATAGCTTCCGCCTCCTCATCGCAAAGACGATTAAAAGTAGGGAGCAGGAAAACAAGTTGCCCTGCTGGATACAGCTCGGCGCGCAGCATCGAGCTGGTGTTGAACGCGCGCCCCGGGGCCCTGGCTGGGCCTGGGCGGACATCCCTGAACAGCTCCTTTACAAACTTGAGTTACAAAGCCTCCTGGCGGGCGGGCCGGCTGGCGGCGATCAGACGTCGAAGCGGAAACGACAACGAGGACAACGTCGCGGGAGCAGGTTTTAATAAAGGCACGCTGTCGTTAACAGGCGGCCCACGGCACAGCCCTTCTGACCTGATCGCCTCAGCGCCGCAGTCGGCTCCCAGGGGCCCTAGATGGCTGGGCCAGGCAACAGCGCTGCGCTGCTTGGTGCCCCAGGAGGGGCACCAAAATCCGGCCGAGAGGAGCGCCAAAATGCTCAAATTAATTAGGACCCGCTCCCCCCTCTCTCCCTCCGCGCGTCGACGCGCGAGCTCTCTATTTTTCGTCTGATTTCCGGTCACCACTAATTTGGCCGCTTTCGTCCGCAGTCTGCAGGTGGAATTGAAGACGACCGGAGCGGCAAAATCGATTCCGGAGGGCCAATGGACGTGATGGAACACCTCGGTCGAGTGGCCGGGAACCGACGGGAGCCGAGGGAGCCGAGGGAACCGAGGGAACCGCAGCACGGCCTGGAGGAGGCGGCGGGACTCCGGGCCTATTTCGAGTGCCGTTCCGGGAATGGGACTGGATCAAACACACATTGTGGTTCCAATGAGGAATACACCGCGTTGGTTTGAGGAGGACGGCTGAAACCGTTCCAGCGCTGTTGGGTCCCACCTGCGAGTGGAGGGCCAGGTAGCTGTATTAACGAAACGAAGCGGGTTGGCGCCGCTGTCCGAGAGGAGGGCCATTCTGCGGCCATCTGCCATGACAATGACGGATTGGCCAGCCCCGTCCCCCGCCACACCCCGCCGCCTACCGACACGGCGCGGCGCAGCGCGGGCCTTGTCTGGATTGCCACAAGCTGGGTGCGATCCCCATCAAGGCCCGCCCTCTCCGCCTCCATCCACGGCACACACATGGGGCTGGTGCGTTGTTTCCTCGTGAGATCCTCCCCCCTCCTCTCTGCTCGACGGTAATGCTTTGTGTCAATGTGCCGAGACGCTTCAAGTGTGACTAAAGTCGTTGGTTAGCCCGGTGATTTCCACGAAAATGACACGAAGAGGAATCCAGTCCGCAAACATTTAGTCGCCTCTGCAGTCATTCGGATTGTTATTGGACCACTTTCCTTTTCCGTGTAGGAAGTTAATCGCGTTTGTTTCCGCGACGGTTACAGCTGTCGAAAAGTTTCCTTCGAGGAGTGATTTGACGGCCTCCCCTCCCACAGGCCGCGCCGTGGATGTCACTGCCACTGGTGACGCCGTAGTTGATGGCGGGGAGGGTGGCTGCCGGTGGCTGCCGGTGTCTGCGCGTTGTGATCGGCGTGGCAGCGACGCCCAGAATCGGCATCCCAGCCATTTCCGCTTGGTGCTGACTCAGCTTCAGGTGGCCACACCATATCGAACCGCCGTCGTGCCAGGCGCCACTACTTTTTATCCGCGTGCTCTCTCAAAGCTCGCTCGGCCCAGATGGCCGACCGGCCGCGGGAGCGAGCTTTTTCAGCCGCATAAGCGGGTGCCACTAGCCGCGCGGGGAGCAGGGTTAGTCTGTGCCAAATTTCGATGTGTGGCAGTATCTGCGGCGCCGCTACTTCTTCCAGCGCGTCTTTTTTCACTCGGCAGTCCTTTCCGCTTTAAGAACCTCGTCGGCAGGGCGGAGTCAGGGCGGAGGCAGCGGTGCCCTCGGCCTCGCCGGACTCAAGGGCCTCCGTTTTTTCCCTTTCCAGTCCTTTTTTTTCCACGATGTAGTGTGTGACACGGACGTGGTCTCTGCTCCGCACTCCGACATTAGCCCGCGACCTTGCCGGGCTCGCCACGCTTGCCACGCTTGCCGCCGCGCGGCCCGCCAAACTTTCAAACTGATGAGCGTGGGTTGCTAATGAGTTGGCGCGCAGCGCACGCGACGGCACGCACCCGACACGCCGACAGCCCCTCGACCCACATAGAGGCACGGTCAGGTGGGACAGATATATATATTTCTCATGTACCGCGACCCTGAATTCTCGGATTTGATCTAAACTCAACCGGAGGTATTACTTTGGGTGCCCTTATGCGTTTCCGACGATAACCAGACCCCGTGGAATTGGGAAAGGGGCAAGGTCCAAACAGAGGTGCCACTCGGCGAGGTGACGCGGTGAATGCTGGCAGCCATTTATCAACACCTCGCGGGTCGGCTCTGGGGTTGGCAACTTGATCTGTCCCTCCCCCTCCCTTTTCTCTAAGTCCTTTGTGGGCCGCGCAATCATTAGTCGCTTGGCGGGATGGTGTTGTATCGATTCGCGGCCGCCTTTGACCTCCCTCTGCATTTAGCGGTGTGAGTGTCCCGTCCGGATCCGGGAAACCCTGGCCGCGGCCTGGCCCCCTCCGCCTCCAGAGGCCTCGGTAGGACGGTGGGGCTGTATTTGATCAAAAGACTCTCCCGGCCGATTGCAAGGCCCGTTTGTGTATACACTGTGCGGCGAGGAGGCCGCCGAGCGGGGCTCAGTGCCGCTAGCGGGATGTCTGGTTGTGCGATCATGAATACGCCAGCCCCCTGCCCTGTGTATAGTGTTCGCAGGGGGCTGCGGTGTCCTAGTTTGCAAACACACCCTGTAATATGCACCGTCCAAGTCAGAAAAAAAATGTTTACCTGCGAATACATGAGGCTGAGCGGCAAGCTCATCGCGATCGAGAGCAGCCACACGAAGACGATCTTGAGCGTGACCCGCCTGCGCGTCTTGTTGCGGCCGAAGCGCATCGGGTAGCGCAGGCTGAGGTAGCGGTCCACGGAGATGGTGCACAGGTGCATGATGGAGGCCGTGCAGAACAGCACGTCCAGGCAGATCCACACCAGGCAGTACACGGAGGGCAGCGGGAAGAAGCCTGCAACAAGCGGGGCCGCAGTGTTTCAGAAAAAAAGAAAAATGAAGCATGAATATAACGGGCAGGAAAGACGCGCATCTCCGGGCAAATCGCTCCGCCCGCCAACGTGCTGTATACCTGCAGGCGTCGCGCTGTCTGGCCGCCAGCTCGGGCGCCCGGCTGCGAATATAGGTTGCCTTTTCCACGCCATGTACCGGGGCCGCGCTGCCTCGGCAGTGCCAGGGCCGTGCCAAGGCCGGGAGTTTGCAGCCTCCCTGAGCATCGGGATTGATATAAATCGGGATGGATGAGATATGCGCTGAGGCGGAACGAATCGGCCCGGGTCCCCGTCGCGAGTCAGACGCCGGGGGGGGGGGGGGGGCACGTGCGAGTTGAGGGTCCTGGAGACCACCATGCACCACGCCACGCACACACACACAGGAAGCACGCAACCCCGGCAATAACACGCCACATGCGAACAGAGCAGCGTGTGTGTGAGTGTGTGTGTTGAGCAATCTAATTTCTCATACGCTTTGAGGCCCCCTGATGACATCCTCTCCTCCCCGAAGCCCCTCAGCGACCAGAGGACCCTATGTGACCGCAGACACCGCATTTGGGTAGGCGTAGAGTGTTGCTGCAGCCCTCCCCACCCTCAAGACAGGGATTGGACAGCCGTGTGCGGTTCACGTCCCGAGGGCCGGGCCTAAGGCCAGGCCTGTCTGGCAGCGCTCAACACAAACCTGAAGTAGTGGCGCAGGTGAGGAGGCAGCCCCAGACAATGCAAATAGGCTGGCCTCAAAGCAAGAAACACCCACCACATCACAGAAACGCGCTTACACACACACAGCGAGAGAGTTCCCCATAACTCCGCCCGAGTACTAGTATCCTCTCCGTCAAGCTAATTTGTGTGAAGCCGTTGCTCTTCTCGCCCCCTCTCCTTTCAACTCAACGTCGCATCTCGTCCGTCCACTTTACATGATAGACTGATTCAATGAGGTGACCGACCTACCCGTTGCTTGTGCCGCAACCAATTTTCCCCTGGCCATACGGTCGTTGTGATTTTCGCTTAACCTGGCCCTGCCCCAAGGTAGGACACCTAAATCCCGGCTCGCCCCTGCCGCCCGGCAGGTTTGCCTCCCGGAGCACCTCGCCGAACCACCTGCCTCGCACCCGAACACTTTCCATCCCCGTCCTCATCCACCCGGCCAGGGTCCACCAACGTGGTCACGGTTGGGCCCTAAACTTGATCTCGGCCAGTGTAGCGCGTCTCATAACGACGTGGAGCTCCGTCACGAGTGTGTCACGCTTCGTGTCCCGCATGCCGTCACAGGCGTGCCTCGCGCTCCCTCACGGGTGAAGCTCGCGCGCACGGCGCCAACCTGTTTGCCGCACACATTCAGCTGACGAGCAGAGCGGCACCGCGACGAATATTTCATGTACCGAGAGATGAAAATATCGAGCAAGTCGGGAGGGCGAGGCGCACCGTCAGTCCGCGGACAGAAAGGGGAACTCAGTCAGACTGCTCCTTTTGCTGACGGTGGCAAAAAAGCAGTCAAAAGTGATAGGTACTACACTCAATAAAAAGGCAGAAAGAAAACAGAGAAACAGAATAGACAGATGGAGAAGCAGCAGTGGCCGCGTGATCGATCCCTTTCCTAAGCCCACCCCGACATGTTTTGTCAATTTCTCTCTGCTGTACCTAAGTGCTATTTAAACGAAGCGAACGCGGGGCGCAAGCACACGCAGCACATTATTCGGGATGTTTATTTCATGGGGGGTGAGTCATGGCCCAGTATGGCATTCCGCTTTGCTTGCTTTGCTTGGCAGGCTGCAGTGTTGGACCCCGAGTTGCACGGACCAGAAAAAGAAGAAGAAAAAGAGGAAATAATGTAGTTTTAAAGCAAAATTTTACAGGAACTGTTGGTTTTTCTCGGGTGGCTCCAGCACGGGCGGGGATAGGTGTAGTAATGATCTTATAACCACAACATGGTGACTCCAGCACCGCACCGCCAAATCGTGACAAAGTGAGCTTGGGCATTAGGCTGCTGTGGGAATGTCTTGGGGACAACGCTTGACCCAGACAAAAACGCAATGCTGAAAGATGTTCGTTCCAAAACTGTGCAAAACTACAAATATGATTGGAACGTGGCTGAATTGCACTGCTGCAGCCTTTGCAAGTGTGTGCTTGATCAATGATATTCTTTCTGAATTACGCACTGATTCTTGGGGTGGGTTTGTGAAGTGACCTTAGCTTTTTCTTGGATCCAATTTCCGGAGTCGAATGCCGTGACCTCTTGGGCGGACCGAAACGGCCATAGCTATTATTTTAAAAGGGCGCGGCAGGTGGAGAAGAAACCGCGTTATACACTCCCACAGCCCATGCTATCGAGTTCCAGGTCAGCAGCCTAGCGCATGGTCAAATCGTATGTTCTTTTCTCGATTACGTTGAAGCCTTGCTCCAGGAGGCAGTTAAGGTGACCGCCGACGCCATTTTAGCTGCTCCCATCCGTTCTGCCGAAGGCCCCGTCACATCGATGCCATGCTACACCCTGAGAGGTGCCATTAGGGGCAGAGCGGACCATCCATCTCGACTAGCAAACTGCTTCCAATCATTGCTCCGTGGCTCTACGGAAGCCCCGTAAGTGTGAGAGAGACAAAGCGACTCTATTGCGAATCAACCTGCTGTCAGCCCTTCCCCTACCGTCCTGCATGTCATCACTCCGAGCGTCGTCGGCAGCGTTAACAAGGCAGGCTGCAGCATAACCCACACGGCAGGTAAGTGTCGCGAACAGGGCCTCAGTTTTTAAACAGTTTTATGCAAACGACATTAAAAATGAGTCACGCTGCTGGAATTATTCACTGAATCTACGGATCCCGCCCGCCTGAGGGCCTCGAGGAACCAGGTCATGGCGCAGAAAGCTGGGAGCCTCGGGAAAAGCCACGCACGGCCGAATGCAGAGTTGACGGTGCTCCTTATCTTCCCTCCAGGCGACTGGATCGCCTCCTCACGCCTCGCCCGGGCCTCGCCCAGGCCTCGCCCGACTTTAGAGAGAGTTGGTCTTGGCGACGCGAGACGTCGCAAGGCGCCGCGATCCCCTGCAGACTGATAATGCTATCGGGGCGCGAATTATCGCCCGGAATTACTTTCCGCCGGCACTCTGTCTCTTTCTCTTTCTCCGGGCCGAGCGACGTCCTGGTCCTTCGACGGCGCGGCTGCCCTGCAGACGCGTTCTAAACAGCATCGCCCCATCCATCTCGCACCCATGATGGTTTGGCCCCGGTGGGAGGGAGAAAGAGCGACGAAAGACCGTTCGGAATCAGCCTGCAGGCCTGGCCAATTGAAACGAACGGTTTAATTAGGCTGGATAATGCGGCATGGCGGGCCACGGCTCCCGAAAGACGTCCGTTTGGCTGTCTGTCTGTCTGCCCATCCTTTCCCTGGACACAAAGAAAGGGACGTGCAGAAAGAGTGGACAGAAAGAAGGTGCGTCTTTGATGACGGCGAGATTAACGATGCCTCACCCCTTGCCGAAATGATCACGTGCAAAGTGAGTTAGAATCCCCCGAAAGAAGGGTCGGACCAGACAGGACCAGAAGAGTGCCGTCTCTATCGCATTCGCGTTGCGTGGAGGTGCGAGAGAGACAGAAAGCACTCCTCGGAATGGGTCTGCCGGCCCAAGTGCCCTCCGGCGATCGTGCGCTGAATCACGACGCCGGGAGTCGCGGCAAGCAGCCCCGGACCGGCAAGCATTCCGCCAACTCAAAACAACAGCCATTCGATTGGATTCCAAACTCCGCGGAACGGCCATTATGGCCTGCCGTTGGAATTGCCTCAAAATTAAACGTAACGTGATTGAGAACTAGGTTTGGAAAGAATTGGGTCCCGCAGGCGGCAGTGACGCGGCCCGCAAGAATGGAGGATGAAAATGGCGGGAAGTGGTAAGGCCCCAGCTGGGTCTCACTCGTCCGTGTACCTGGGACAACCACAAATCTGCAACTGGCAGTAGCTTTGGGTCTCCTGAGGTATTTTTCCATGCGAGGAGTACATCGTTTACGAAGAAGTCCGTTCGAAGTTACTCCCACTCCCCACAGAGGCGCGACTACAAGCTCGCAGCACTGTCTTTTCCTCACCTGCGAGACAAACATTTTGTAACCCCACTCTCCCCACCCCTAGCAGGGGAATTCGCTCTAGAGGGCTCCAACAATAACCACCCCACCTTGCCCTCGAGAGGGGCGCGGTGCCGCGGGGTGGGGCGGCTAGGGCGCGTTGGGGTGCGATGCAGCCCCCCGTCGCGTGCCACGGCGTGTCGGACCCCGCCACGTTAATTGTCTGCTTGATTTGACACGACATACCCTCTCATCGCCCAGACACCCATCACTTCATTGGACAAAGGAACAAGCCACACAGAGATACAGCGGAAGAAATACAATAAACAATTATTCGGAATCCGTTTTTGTTTAGACATTGACGCGGCTCGGTACGTTTTCAGTTTGTTTGGGAAGCCACGCTCCATGGTGTTGCATTTTTGAAGAGGCAGCGTAGTTATTGGCTTTTGGCTCGGCCGTTTCGTTGTCCGCAGGCAGGCGCATATTTGCGCCCAGTAAGCATCGGTGGTGGCGCCCAGCAGGCCCAGCCCTCCCCCAGGCCAGGCATAAACCGTCGAAACAATTTGGCCGAAACGCGGTGGCAGCTCCAGGGTGCGCCGAATAAGCTAGACTGGACATAGCGAACAGTCTGCAACAAGTCGTGAGGTGCAATCATACGTGTGTGTAGAGAGCGTGCCCTCTCACCTGCCTGTGTTCTGTTCTCTCTCCCACGGGCAGCGTGCGACCGGCAGTGTGCGAGGGCAGATATAAAACCGGCATCGGCCCTTTTTTGAAGCCTCGGCATCCAATTATTATGGCCCCGCGCAGTTAATATGGAACTAACTCGTGTTTTCCAACGATAAACAAGGGCAAACAATGAACAAAATCAAATATTGATGAGGCAGAACACTTTTAATGAACGATCGTAGTCTTTA